ATATAATGAAACCATATATCATTCATGCTCATTCTTAAAAACATCTTTCCATTGCTGCCACATATAGCGCTCCATTTGTTGATTTGGTAATTGCCTATGCTTTACATGACTCAAATACATTTGTTGATTTGGTAATTACCCATACATTACATGATTAAGGTATCTACATATAATTTATATGTAGTCTATAATAATAATGCAACTTTTTCAGTCTATTTTATTTAATTTAATTGTGGAAATTGACCATTATAGTTTATCTTAATTAAGTATAATTAATAATATTTTTCTACTATTCTATTATATAATAATTATTATTTATAATAACTAATTATAATTCATACTAAATGATTTATGAAAGCTGCATGTTTAGAAAATTTCCATAGCAATATTTTTTCTTCAAGATATTTATTTTAAAATTAATATTATCATTCTATTTTTATATCATTCATCGATATTTTTAAATAATTAATTGATTTTATTGACATAAAAAATTTTTGTAAATCAGGTAAATATATGCTATAATAATAGCAATTTGATTTTTTTCTACTACTTAATTGGTTCTGCTACCTTATATTTGTAAACATTATATTATTCATTACATTTTATACACTTGATTTATATATAAGTAAAAATCTTTTGAAGTATATTGTTAATTTTTTCTAATGATTCAAAATTATTAAAATGTGTTATCAGCATTATGTAATTTATAATTTCAAATAAAATAAACATATAACTATGATTTATATATATGTATGTTCAGATAATTGAGTACTAGTTTTTAAAAGAAAAACGGTCATATATGAATGCTTAATCAACAAGATTATTCAATTACCTTTTTCTTTATAGAAAATCCAAACTAATATTGTCTGTGTTGATAAACGGATTTAATCAACGTTAACAATGTAAAATTAACACAAAAGATTGCAGAAAATGAGATTTTTATTGAATATTCTGAAGTCGGTTTCAGTACAGGGAGGTCGGTTTTTCAATGTATTTCAAGTCGGTTTACAGTGAGATAGCCGAGTTGAATATATGAGTGTTTATGATCTTTTTTCGTACCCTTCTCTCGTCTTTGGAGCTGCTATTTATAGTTAAGTCTGGCACACATCCCTAGACAAATCATTCCCGTTTTAATGAAGATTTGACGTCTTAGGGGCGGCGATGACGTAGAAGAACTTTTTAGGCAATGATTAGCATGGGCGCGCCTCTATCTGTGTGACGAGTGTCACATCTGTCGGAACGAAGTCGGTTCGTCTTGCGATGTCGATATTTTGATAGATCTTCAATATTCTACGACTTATTAATAAATAATTCTTTGACCGAGTTGGCCTTTTTCAAGGTTCAGACGACTTGTGTTGATAACTCCCGAAGATTCTGCGGTATCATTTACGGATACCGAGATGAGATTACCGAGGTACAATATGTCCTATTTGACGTCGTCCAGAATCCAATTTATGAATCAAACTTCACGATTTCTTTAATTTAATCTTAATATTAAGATATTCTATCTTGATATCAACATAGAGGCCCCTGGCATTAAGAAGTATGCAGAGTATGCATGCTTTTGAATGACATCTTCTTTCTAATTATTGCCGGTTGCCGAGGTAAG